GACCCCTTAACACAAAGTCTTACACAGATCATACAAATATTTCACAATACAAAAAGGGAAGAAGTCAGACTTTGTTGCTATTTACAGGCTAAAACCAACTTTCTTAGAAAAACAAAATCTGATGATCCACCCGCAATTGTTGTAAGAGAGTCCTGGAAAACGCGAAGTGCAGCTACGCGGGATCTGTCCAGGCCAAGGTTGAAAATAAACAAATTGGATCTCGTGAATTCTGGAAGATTATGATCAGTGCCAAAGCGGACCTCTATTATAAATGATCCCGAAGTCATATCATCCTCGACAGACAAGGTGAGGCTCTTCGCCTCAATCTTTGCCTCAAACTCAACGTTTCATGACAAAGACCATCCCCTCCTCAACTTTTCACGTTTCACTGAGCACAATCTCAGTAATATACTCATTTCAGTAAGAGAAGACTCTAGACTTATCAAAAGCCTCGACCCCCCAAAAGCCACTGGCCCAGACAAAATTCCAGTGGTTGTCCTTAAGAATATCAACCCAGAATTATCCTCGATTCTAGCAAAGTTATTAAACCGCAGTTTCAATCATATGGAAGGTAGCAAGCGTATGCTCAGTTTTCAAGAACGCGGGCAACCGATCTTTCCCCTTTCAGTATATATCCATTAGTCTCCTCAGTATCATTAGTAGGCTTTTTGATGCCTTAATCAACAAGAAGGTTGTCGAGCACCTGGAGAGGAACAACCTCTTGTGCGACGAGCAGTATGGGTTTCGATCAGCTCGATCCACTGCTGACGTCCTAACTACCATTACACACAAACTTAGTGAGACCCTTGACAACACACATATCGCAAGGAACATAGTATTAGATATCTTGAAGGCCTTCGACAATGTGTTACACAAAGGTTTGCTACACAAGCTCTCCTGCGATGGAATCACTGGAAGTTTTTTCTCCATTATAATATCCTTCTTAACAGGTAGATCTCTGAAGGTAATTATTAGCGTCCAGTCCTACGAGGCCCTGGCGGTCAGGCGTCACTTCTCGGACCAACCTTCTTTCTGATTTACATGAATTATTTGCATAAGAATATGCTCCGATCATTTGTAAACGTCTATGCTAATGATACGACGATATACGGGCGCATTTCTAAAAGTCTTGACGATCAGAAATTGGCAGCTGACCTCTCTTCCGATCTTATACGTTAGTATTAGATCGAAAGTGAGGTCAGCTGCCAATTTCTCAGTGGGGAAAAATGGTTGGTTACATTCAATGCCTCTAAAACTAAACTGGTTACATTCCATCAACGCCGATCAGACCCCGAACTACCGCCAGTCACAATGAAAGGATGTCTCCTCGAGGAAGCCCCATACCTCGAAAGGATATTGAGCCTCGAACTCACACCCGACCTCAAGTGGAATTCCTATATACGATCCATCGCTAAAGATGCAGGTAAAATGATCGGCACCCTGTAGCGCTCCATTCCAATTGAGTATCATACAAGGGAACCACCTAGAAGAATTACAGGAAATCCCGAAGGCGTTTGGAGAACGTGGTTGATGTTAATGGCGATTTTATTGAATAAATTTTTGTGGAATTTTGATAAATAAATCTATTGAGATATTAGTATTATTTTCATGTTTGTGTAACTTAGACGGCAATTTATCCATCGCACCCGTATATATATATATATATATATATATATATATATATATATATATATATATGTGTGTGTGTGTGTGTGTGTGTGTGTGTGTGTGAACTTACAACATTTTCTTTTCATATACAGTGATGAGTAGAATGAACCACCTAGCCAAAAAAATCAATTTAGAGTAGAACCTCGGATCACGAGTTTAATTCGTTCCTGAAGGCCGTTCGTAAACCGAAATGTTCGTAAACTGAAACTATTTTTCCAATAGGAATCAATGTATACAAAAAAAAAAAAGGCACAATACAATAAAATTGGAAAAGAAAAGCACGCCAATACTCACGAATGTATACAACACTGCAGTCGACCCAGAAATTATTCCGTTCGGGTTAACTCGGTTTGGCAATGTTGTTCGAGAACCGAAATTTTGTTCGATAACCGAGGAATTTTCATCTCGAATTTTCTCGATTTGTTCGACATGTGAGGCGTTCGAGAACCGAGGTTGCACTGTACTTAATTTTTGACTAAGAAGTTTTAAATATTTGACAATGTACTTTCAGTCCTTCGGGTCACTAGTTATCAACACAGGCGTCCCCCAGAGGTCACTTCTCAGACCAACCCTGTTTTTACTTCACATAAATGATCTACCTAAGAGCATGCTCTGATTATTTGTGAAAATCTATGCTAACCATACAACGGTATATGTGTTCACCTACAAAGCTCAAGATGACACAGTAATTGGCAGCTGATCACTCCTCTGACCTAGCTCTAACAGCTCAGTAGGAGAAAAACAGGCTGGTTACATTCAATACCTCAAAAATCAAACTAAGAACATTCCATCATCATACTTATTATAAAACCCAGGTTGTGTGTGTGTGTGTGTGTGTGTGTGTGTGTGTGTGTGTGTGTGTGTGTGTTCGTTTATATATTGGATCGGATTTCCTACATTTTTCAACCGATTTCAACAAAACTTCACAGGACTACGTAAAATTACCTTGCGGTGGTTCTGACAACGCCAAAAATTGGAAAAACACAATTGTTTTTGCACGAAATCAATTTGAAAACACGATTAAGAGGCGTCGCTGTCGCGAGAATGAAAGGGGGACAACTCATATCGAGTTATACTTATTATAAAATCCAGGTTGTTTGTGTATGTGTGTCTGTGTTCGTTTATATATGGGATAGGATTTCCTACATTTTTCAACCGATTTCAACAAAACTTCACTTTTTTTGGCAGGTAGTGTTTCTTATTGTCTTGCACACTTTTTTCTTTATTTTTACATTCAGAATGCTTTAAAAATTCCATTTACAAGACAATTGTTTATAATAAAATTCTATTCAATCGGTAGACTCATAACGATTGAAAACAATGTTTTTGAGTTTGGGTTTGACCAATTCGTAAAAAAACCCCAAAAACAAAAAAAAAAAAAAACCAAACAAAAAAAACAAAACAAACAAACAAAAAAAACTAATTAAGACATGCGTGTCCGTCAACCTTAAACAATAATCTTTGTCAATTTTATTTTTCAGTCTTTATGATGGTCGATACTTGATCTATCTCTTACTGTTACATCCCCGGACAACGCCGGGCTCTATTGCTAGTCGCTGATAAGACCCTGAACTAACACCAGTCATGGTGAATGAATGTCTCCTCAGGGTGGCCTGTGCCTTGAGCACCAATTGGGACTTAAACTCAAGATCTCAAACAGAACTCATACATATAATCCATCACTAAAGATGCTGGAAAAATAGTCAGTTCTCTGTACCATTCCAGTAATTCCTGACTCCTCCTCCTATCCTCTATCTTTACAAGAGCTAGATCAGGCGAAAAATGGAGCACTGTTGCCATATACGGGCAAGGGTTGCTCAGTCATCACTTTCCAGTCTCGATAGAGTCCAACAGCGTCTCCGCGTCCTTGTGGGTGATTATTTATTTTCCACCTTACAACCCCTTTTCCACAGACAAAATGTCGCAAGCCTCTCAGTGCTTTATCATTATTAAAATGGAAAGTGCTCAGACAAACTACATTCCTTAGTTCCATCAGTTATAATCTTCATGGCTACGACCAGCTATACTACGCACATTGTAACGAACCAATTGAACACTCCTCAAAACTTCCAATCTCCCGATCTGAGGCTTTGCTGCCGGATGTAGTTTATGGTCATACCCAGGACTACCACTTACTGAGAGTTTCCTTCAAGGGAGGTAACCTAGCAACACCGTTGGTACTATACTGCATGGTAAGTACTTCTACACTTATTCTTTTGTGAAATTTCTATTATAATTATCATCCTCCTCTTCAAACTTACTTTTCTCATTCTGAAACTTAAATCACTTACACTAAAAAGACAAGTTGAAAGCTCCAGTAATTCTGCAATCTGTGTTTGATCATTTAGCATAAGAAACTCGCATGCATATCTTAATATTTGATGATGTTAATCTTGAGGAATAACAAAAAGCACATGCCTTTTACAGGCCTGATTTTCAGTATCACAGTGCATTATGATCTGCATCTCTCCTTTTACTGTGCTCATGTGAATATGAAAACTCACATTAGTTTTGAATGACCACAAACATTACTCCTGAAAATATATACATTGTCGAAAAATTACTGCTTCTTCGTAAAAATGAAGCAAATGTAAGTTTACTTAGCTTAGATAGATAGATAATATTACTGGTTAATATACACATACATATATGTACATATATCTAAAACACACAAATATATATACAAAAGGTACATACACATACATATATATATATGTGTATAAAAAAATTCCAAGAGGATAGACTCCAGGTAGGACTCAATGTCCAGAACAGAGTAAGGATATAATAAAAAGGCTTAAACACTAGTACTCCATGGTCATAATTTATTACATTGGAATCGTAAATACGATCCAATTCATCAGACCTACAAATTCAAATTACAAGGACGTAGTTTCAGTAAAATTTGAATTTTGAATTTGTAGGTCTGATGAATTGGATCATTGATTCCAATAATAATAAATTATGACCATGGAGTACTAAATTTAACCATTTTATTATCTATCTATCTATCTATCTATCTATCTATCTATCTATCTATCTATCTATCTATATATATATATATATATATATATATATATATATGCTGAACCTCAAAGACGTAAACAACACAAGGACGTAGTTTCAGTAAAATAACAAAACCAGCAAATCAGAATTAGGGATTCAACGTTGGTCAGTCAAACAGAAGATCGAGAATATAAAATTGTGTTCAAGTTGAGCCTGTCTTTACCAATATAAGCAGAGGAAAATCAGCATTTAAGCAGTTATTAGTATGGTGACAAAAGAGAAGTAACGAAATCGACGGACCAGGAACAACACATCTGCGCGACATATCGATGCTGCAAAATTCCATTCACTACTCCCGGACGAGGAATTTTACACAAGAATTGTCATCACGCCGATGGATAATTGGATTTATTTGTAAGTACGAGCTTCATATGATAAAATTAAATATGACCCCAAAAGCTTACACGTGTGATTTATAGCTGATGCTTGCTGTTCACACAATGAACTAATTACTCTGAAACAGACTCATCTCTTTTCTTTTCCACGACGTCAGTGTTTCGTCGAATAAATAGTAGTTATTGCTTGTACTATAAATCTATGTTTGTGTTTATTCATATTTCTATAGAGGTGTTGTTACCTTAGGATCGATGAAACAAATCATAACTATTACGTTTAGGCCTAAACTTTGAAATTTATTTTTTTACCTTAATAGGAGTAAATAGGGTCGCCTATCATCTGCTTCACACTTATCCTTGGTCTTTTGAACAACAGTAGCGATTTATCCCTTGTTTCCTGTTTAGGATTAGGTTTTTGGTTCCTTCTAAAGTCATTTCATTCTCATTCACTCCCAGTAGCCCCTTGCGTCTTAGAGGCAGTATCGCCTTGTGAATTTGATTAAAAAATAACCATATTTACATTATGCGTTGTATGATTTTTATAATTACATTTATTTTATTACTTAAACGTTACTTTTAGTTTAATATGATTATAAAATCGAAATGTAAAAGTTCAAAGCAGCTGACAACAGAAGCATCGCCTTCCCCGTGCCCGCACTAAAATCGTCTATGCAAGAACAAATTGAATTTTTGTGTGGTCAATAACAGAGGAACTATACAGATTCCTAGAGATGGACATCTTCTACCACTTTGACCAGCAAGACTTGTATCCCCACTGCGGAACTTCAGAAACCAGCCCCATACTGCCCGTGGATCCTTCACCTCATATTTTGCTAATGTTTATCAGCTGTTTGAGAAACATTGTGAACTAGCTTGAACCTATGCAAAAAAGAAGACTAAATACATCTTTTTTCATCATATTAAAAGAAAAATATGCGCTCTCCGTTAAGATGCGGACCTATTTCAAGCGGATCGAGAAAAATAAATATATTAATAAATAAACAGAGCGTCTACTCAAATATGGACATCCACTATGTTTAAAATCTGTTGGATTAATAGAAAATCCATCACTTCTTTAGAAATCTACATTTAAGGATAGATGCATGTATGATACACACGTACACACATATATATGTTTTTGCTTTTTACATCGCTATGAGTACGTATGTTCATTTATGCACACACACACACATAGTCATATAGATAGACACACGCATATACAAAAAATGTGAATTCGAGAAGGGAGTGCAAATTGTTCTTCCGGCAAACTTAATTACCGGAAGCCAGCGAAGTTACTTCCCTTGTTTGAACCTCTCCAGTTGCCGTCAACAATGGCTAGCGAGCCCTGAGCTGCGCTCTAAGCCGCTTCTTGTCCTTTCCCCCCATCACCTGTACAAACTCACTTGTTTGCCTATTCTTACCACCGTAAAATTATTTCACAAACATTTCTGCTTCCCACGGAATCCTACAAACCTGGATTTAGTTGTATATTAACCACATTCGTGACGACGAAAGACAACACAAGGAGTGTACGAACGACACACGAGACGAGGACAATTAATAAAAATATGAATGATTAATTTGAACACTTTGGAGATACGAATGACTAACTAAAACTTAACGACACATTTTTTTTCGGTTGCTTATTATTAAAACTTTTGGAAAATCAAAACAATAAGAATTGAATAACAAATACAATCGGACTGGAATTTTTCCGATCTGTAAAGAGCGGAAACAAAATCAAACATTTTTTTTTTTTGAAACGGAAGGAAAAGCGTTGAAACAAGAACCAAACCCGGCATTATTGGTGACTTTTTTTTTATCTTAGATAAAACACTCGTCCTTGTTTTTGTGTATGTATATGTTTCTTCTTATATCTTTTTTCTCTTTCATTTAGAGTCTTTGTAATTGTTTAAAGTTGTATTTGTTTGAAGATGATTTTTAATCGTTATTGCCTTTTTGATTCCCCCCTTCCCTTTTAAGAACATTGATCAGTATGAAGAAAAAAAAAACAAGTCGTCAATCAACCTTACACAATAATAATAACAAATATCTCAAACTTCGTTCATCCACCGTGACACACTCAAACTTAATCATTTTAGTTCAATAATAAGGAGAAATCATTTCATAATCTTTTAAGATTTATTGCTTACCATTTTTACTATTAAATTTGTTGAATCAAAAAATCAATTAATTTGCACGTCTCCCCCATTTTTTTTTTATTTTGATGAAGTCATAAGAGAAATATTCATCATACCACAAGCTGAGTAATGTGAAAAAAATACTCGTAACTAATTATGAAAATATTTTCATCGTAACTACTTTTAAATTTATTTCTTGTTTCTTTATTTGCTACAATAACAAAAATATCACTAGAGAGTTAAAAAAAAACACACTACACTACTACAACTACAGTAATGTAAATTGTAAATAAATATTTTATTTTAAATAAAATTAGTCGTGTAGTTTACTGGAAAATTGTTATAAAGCAATTTGAATTTACAAAAAAGTACATCTAATAAAAATATGGTCGAAAAATATGATTTAATTCATCGTATGTCCATAAAACATTTTTTTTTTTTAGTTTAATTAGTGTTTACTTACTAAGTGGCTTTTTTAGTTGTTTAAAAACAAGTTCTGTTAGTGAAAACATTTTTTTTTTACAATGAGATCAGTTTCTGTCGGAAAACTTGTAATATTTTTTATAAATCAAATTAAACTATAAAAAGTATGTAAATATAAAAAAAAATCAAACACTTTGTTGATTGAACTGAGTTTGCAAGTAGTAAAAAGAAAATGTAGTATTCCGATTCGTCTATATTCCATTTCTTTGATTATTCTCGTTTTATCATTTTAAATAAAATTGAAAGACAGCTTATACAAGTGCACCAGCATCATCAGAGTTATTTACAGGCTGAATAATAAGCAAGAAAAGGTGAAAAAGTTTTCTTTGATGTACTTATTAAATCTTTGTAACACTTAAAACCACGCCGCCGCCATATTGAGGAGAGAGAGGGAGAGAGTCGGTGCGTGGAAAAGAGTAATGAGAAAAAAAAAATAAAGAAATACATATATATATATATATATATATATATATATATATATACACAACATTCTGTGCAGAATTTTGAAAACTTAAATACATATGCTTGTATATCGTAAAGGCAAATAGTCCCTTTTCTTTTTATAACCTTGTTTGTTGTGATTCTATTTTAAGCTCGTCATGTCTTCACTGCATGTCTTTTTTTTTTTTACCCGTTGATTTGTTTTTAGTTCCCTTGTTTTCTTTCAACTTTCCCTTCACCCAGACACACAACTTGTTAGTTTGTTTTTAATTCTAAATTATATAGATCTCCTAAAAAAAAAAAAAAAAAAAAAAGCCCCAAGCAATTCTAGATCATTTCCTTATTTAATAAGGAACAACAAATTTGGGTCTTTTCATAGTTGCAACCTTTTGATTTTGTTTGCAGAATAACAATACCAACTAATTTTTTTTCTCGTTTAAAAATCAAGCCTTTATCTGCGGATCCCCAAATTTAAAAAAAAAAAAATAATGATTATTTACACAAGTGCATGAGTCATTTATCCCCATAGAAGATTGTCTGTTTTTTTTTTTTTTTTATATAGTGGTGTTGTTTTTACTCAACTAACAACGAAACGAAATTATGTGGTAACGCACCTTAAAAAAGTTTAGGGTTTCTTTGGGGGTTAAATCGATATTTTTGTAATAAAATAAATGAACAGGAATTAAAACAGATGATGTCAGTCGTCATTAAGTGTCGCCTTAAATCCTGTTCTTTATTGTTCTCGCTCCTTAATAGTTTTTCTTTTTCTTATATTCTTCTTACTTAATTGTTAAACTTTCATACTCAGTAACCGTTTGCGTCTTATTGGCTTTATTGCCTTACTTGGTGTGAAATGATTAAAAATAAAATAACGATGCTGACAATCAACCAGCCGATGCTTCACTGATAAAATTAAATTTTTATCTAAAAGTAAAAAAGAAAAGAGAGACACTTTTTAAATTTTAATAAACATTTTTTTGTGTGACTTTAAAAAAGAACGGAGTTTGTAGATTTAAAATAAATAGTCACTCAGAATGATCGATGCTAATTAAGTTTCAATTTCATTTTTCAAAAATAAAAAAACAAAGTAACAAATTAAAAATGACATGTATATTTTCTTTTTAAACTTCATTAAGTAAGTTTTAGTTTCTTAACTTTCATAAATAAATTGCATCGGATGATCAAGATTTCCTGTTTTTCTTTAAAACCACTCCTACAATGTTTTATTTATTTATTTATTTTTTTTTTTTACGGATCCATTAAAATTGAAAGTAGTTAAGTAAAAAAAGTGAACGGAATATAAAATGAAAAGTCACGTTTGTAGGAACCGTAAAGTCTAAATAAAGAAAACATTTCCTGTTTTTTTTTTTTTTTCTGTTTTCGATCATATTGTATATTACAATTTGAAAATTGTTTACAAAAAAATAAAATTATAAACCGTGAAAAAAATTTTTATAATTGAAAGTTACCACCCCTATGCTATACCGGTGTCAGAACAAAAGTCGATATATTCGTTCATATCCGTGTGTGTGTGTAAACATTTCTTGTTTATCATCATCCTTTTTTTTATCTTTTCTGCACGTCGACTTTTGTTCCGGGTGAGAACAAAGATTAAATCGTATTTTTATTTTGTCACATGTTCAGTCTTCTTCAAACTAAACTTTAATTTCATGACCACACACACGCAATTTCTTTCTGCTCACAGCTTTTGCATTATTAATCTCCTTCCATAGTTTTTATGTAAGTATTAAAGTACTAAAACATTTTATAAAAGTAGTAATCTTCGAAATTATTGATTTAAGGATTAACAAGTGCGTGGTTATTATCGTGTTGATCGTGAATCACTGGGTGAGTGTTAGGTCTAATCATCTGCTTCTTATATAGGATTAACTTCTTTTGATGAATACACCAGGTTTTAAGCCAGATGCCACCTGACATTTTTTTAACATGATGCAGAGACTAGATATGTACAAAAAAGAAATAAAAGTTATTTAGTGTTAACTAGGTAACATATTTTGTTACCAATAATCATTAAAAGTTTACTATGATAGTTAGGTGTTGTGTCCCTTTAAGTTGTTGGTGATCACGGCTCTCCACAGCTTCTTTTTTCATACCTCTTAGCAATGCTTGTCTTTTTTACTATCCCTTTCACTCCCTGTTCTGCCATCCATTTAGACAACTTATTAGGTTGGTTATTTGTTTACTTCTGCCTCTCTTGCCTTCAGTATGTCATGTGAGTGTCAAATTCTCTAAGCCCCTTTTCCACATTATGTGTCCCACCTGTCTTTTTACAATTCTAAGTATAAACATCTTTTTTATTTCCATTTTCCTTAAAACTTCTTGGTTGCACACATTCTCTATCTATGGTATTCACATCAGCTTCCTGTAGAACAATGTCTTTTGCTTCAAGTCTCCACTGAATAACTTATTCAGTATTCATTGCCATATAGGAGGATTGCTATTACATAACAACTCAGCATTCTTTTCTGTGTTTCTAATGAAATTTTCTTCATTCTTAATACTTTGTTTAAATTTTGGATGGCATCTTTAGCAAATCCATTGAGCAAAAAAATGTTCTTATTTAATAGCTCATTTTGTTAGTATTACATTTAGTGTTTTGAACGGCTGGATAGTACATGCTTAGACTGTTTTATTTCAAATGCATGAGTTACTAATTGGGAGTTTCACCATTGGGTTAGATAGCACACACTTTGTGCAATATGCCTTCAGGATGCTGACGATCATGGCTCTCCATAATTTCCTGTCCTTTGTAGCCCATAATAAATATGGTCTTTTTGTTATTTTTTCTAAACCTTGCTCCATCGTCCATTTACTGAAGCTTGCTAAGCAGGTCATGTGTTGGTTTCCTCTGTCCCTCTTGCCTTCAATCTGTCCTATGAGTATCAGATTTTCCAAGCCCCCCTTCCTCATTATGTGCTCTAGAAATTTCAACTCTCACTTCCTGATGTTAAGTATAAGTTTCTTTTTTGTTTACATTTTCTCTAAAACTTCCTTGTTGTTCATATGTTTGGTCCATGGTATTCTCAGCATCCTTCTGTAGAACCACATTTCTGTTGCTAGAAGTCTTTTCTTCATCTGTGAAGAGATTGTCTGGCATTCACTGCTATATAAAAAGACTGATATTACATAGCAGTTCAGTGCTCTTTACTTTTTTTTTCTAATGAAATGTTTCCATTTCTTAATACTTTGCTTAGCTTTCGGAAGGCATCATTCGCTATTTCAGTGTGCCACTTTCTGTCCTCTGTTAAAACACTTCTCAGATATTTAAATTTCTGTACTTATTTTATTTTGGTATCTACAATTTGTAATTTGCATGTTGAACTGTTCATTTTGCTAACAACCATGCATTCAGTCTTCTTGCAATTGTTGTTTAGTCCTTCTCACTTTCCTTCTCTACTTATTGTTGTAATTCTTGTAGTTTCTTTTCTCTGTCTGCTATCAATACTATCATCTGTACACCTTATGTTGTTAAAATTGTGGCCACCAATAATGAATCATGGTAGGACTCTCAGAATCACCTCACCATATATGCTGAATAAGTTCATTAAGGAGGCACATTCTTGTCTTACATACTTTTCAATTTTTGTATATTTTCTGAACTCATTTTCTATGTGTTTGCAGGTGATTTGTTGCCAGTATAGGTTCTGGATTAATCTAATATCCTTCGTAAATATGGCATTGTTACTTAGCAGGTCCAGTAGTTCTTTGCGTTACACTTTATCAAATTCTTTGGATAATCTATAAAACACAGGAACACATCCTTCTGCATTTGTATTGCTTTTTTTTTTTTTTTTTTCATATCATCCTGGGTATCTATATCTCATTCCTTGTGACATTGTCTTTAACAACCCACACTGTTCTTGTCTGATTTGCAATGTGATTCTGCTGTGCACACTGTTCATCAGAATTTAGATGATAAATTTTGTTTATATGTCTCATTACGCTGATTGCCTGATGGAGTTCACATTTGTTTGTTCCTGACTTCTTTAGGCAGCGGTAAGAAAATACATCTACTTAGTTCTTCTGGTATATCACCATTGCCATATAATTCATTTATGATGCCTATAATCTAGTCAATGTCAAAATCTAAGGCTGCCAGTATCTTTATCACAATTCCATCTGGCCCTGCTGCTTTATTTCTGTTCAATTTGTCCAGTGCTGATTTCACTTAAGATTTTAATATTTTTAGTCCTTTGATATACCTGTATATTGTCAGTTGTTCTTTCATCATAGAAGAGTTATCGGATATATTCATTACTTCCCTGAAGTATTTTTTCTTTCTTTAATATCAGTGTCTCATCACTCTTAGACTGTTTTATTTCAAATGCATGAGTTACTAATTGGGGTTTTTACCATTGGGCTGGATAGTACACTCAGTGGGAACAGGAGTAGACAAAAACACAGCAGTTCTACAAAAAAGTTAAGATGTCCCTACATATGAGCAGTGGAATGAGACCAATCTATCCCTGTAGATTAAATAAAGAGCTCAGTTCAAAATCCTCTGAAGGTTGATAAACACCTGTAAAAGCCAGGTGAGCGCATTGGCCAAAATGTGATAATAATAGCAGCAAAGCTGAATGTAAATAATGAGTTTCTCCAATTCAAAAGAATACGAGTTTAGTTAAAAAAAAAATTTAAGCATAATGTAAATCAGTGTTTGATATGCAGATATTGTTTGAGACACTAAACTTAATACTTGTTTATTTTCCTCTTGACTTATCTGATATCTTCAAATATTTTCCTTTTCAAAAGCTGGAATCAGACGTCACCCCTCACATGCAGAACTGATGGAAGGCAGTGCCAGTTACACAGTAAAAAGACAGACAATGAAGAAAACAAGTAAGACAGCAGCAGCAAAAATAGCATTAATCAATGTGCCAGGAAATTTAAATCAAACAACATAAATTAAAAAAAAAAAAACAACACATTTTTATATATATACATTCCTGTATACATACATACACACACACACACGCATATATGTGTATATAATATAAACATATTTATATGCACACACATACACATACATGTATATATATATATAAACTAATTGAAAAGTGTAGCCAATTTCTTCATGCAATTAATGACATTTAATTGTCATCGAGAGTTTGGCACGGTGTCCATCCTGGTCAATGAAAACGTGAGAGAGCAGCGTTTTGATGGCATTACCAGAATTGTAAGAATTCTGAAAAATGGTTGTTCAAGATGTAGTGTCATGTAACAGAAGCGATGTATTGAATCGCATGATGAACGGCGAAATTCCGAGCGTTCCAATTATTACCTTGGCAGGAGTGACAAGCCTTACGGACCTATTGCCCGAGCTGCCCCTGCCAACGCCACTCTCACCAGCTATGCACAATAAAAGTCTTCTGTTTAATCCGAAAATTGCAGGTGAAGCACAAAGAATCCTAGACAGCCGTGACGAAACGTTGGCTCAGCAGCTTGCTAATGCTCTCATACAGACTACAACTGATCACATTGAGCTGAAAGATAGCTTAGCAAGTGATGTCATAGAGGGAGACATTCCGGACCTGTTGAAAATGGTTCTGAAACAGGATCCTTTGGTTTTTCAAACAAAGACTAACAATAGCACCGCCACTGCTACTGGTAATATGACTACAACTACTACTACTACTACTACTACCAGTACTGGTGGCACTAGTAGTAGTAGTAGTAGCAGTAGTAGCAGCAGCAGTAGTAGTAGTAGTAGTAGGGGCTTTGATGGTCGGCAAACACGTCAGAGTGTTTCCCAGCAGCAGCAGCAACAACAACAACATACTGCAAATTTTAATATGCCAAATCAAAGCCAAATTCTACAGCCCCATCCTCCCCATGAATTACTGCAGCAAGACCCTGTTTCACCCTATCATTCATCTCATTTTGTGTCATATCACGGGAATCAAAACAACACCACAATAGTACAGCAGCAACCGTCATTACAATATAATGCTAACAGTCAGTATACTAAGCATACCAATTTTCACCCTACAACAAGATATCAGCAACAGCAGCAGCAGCATTTACCCCCTAATGAAAATACAAGATCTCCAGCCTTGGCAGCTGTTGCTGAGCCCATGCTAAATGTAAACATCTCATCCCCTCCGGAGTCTGCGTACCCTAGCAGAAGACGATCCAGCAGTGCCAAACCCTCGTCACAAACTCCAAATCGTGCTGAGGTTCCCTCCTCCTCCTCCGCTGAGGTCAAATCCCCCTCCACCGATCGAGGAAAGACCTCCCATGACGTCTCCGGACGTAGAAATAGCACATCAGACAGACATTCACAGCAGTCTGGTCAGTGGAAAGATACTCCCTCAGGCCGAGGAGATTCCCTAAGGGGGGGTACCCGACAGTCTTTGGCCACCACTGCTGGTTCTCCCTCCATGAAAGCAGAAGTAGAACCCCGAACCCGTCGAAGTAGACACCAATCTATTGAGAAGCCAGAAAAATTCAACAAGCCGCAAACATCATCATCATCATCATCATCATTGCAACAACAACAACAACAACAACAGAATAATGAAGAAGTTGAAGAATTATCATTTAGCAAAGAACTTGATCTATTAGTAGCCAAGAACTCCAAGCCAATTGTTGTACTTGAACTCTTAGATGCCAAAACCTTAAAATCTGTTGTGTCTGGTGGAAGAATTAAAACAGACAGTGAGATAATAAAGCGGTCAATGAAGAGACCACTGTCCAGTGATGAAGATGATGATGATGGGCCGTTGTCAAAGAAAAAACGAAGAAAACGCAACAAGCGCTTGAATCAGAGAGCATTATCTGTTGAGGAGCTGCTAGACAGTGCAACCTTCAAGAAGTTTGCCCAGGCTATTGAACATGTGTTTGACACCGCCGAAGAAGTAGACTTTGGTTCTCTAGATCCAAACGACGAAGAAACCGAATGTCCACCGGAGTCATTGATCTCAAAGCAGGTTTTATCTGAGATCTGTGGGGAAGCAGCGAAATTAAAAGCGCAGAAAGTTACAAATCAAATTCCAGCAGATAAACTGGTGAAACTGCTCACTATCCTCCAATGGAATGTGCGTGATGGTGTGAAGCTGACCCCCAATATCAGACAAGATGACGATGACGAAGACGACGAAGAAACAGTGATGTGGCGTGAATTGGCCATGGAAAGAGTAATGAAAAGTATGGATGCTTCCCTAGCGGCTCTTTACATCATGACTGCCCCCGAGATGCCAAAGCAGGTATATTTGGATGATGTCATTGAGAGAATTATACTTTTTGGCAAATGGCAGCTCCAGAACACGGTTTTTCCAGAATTTGATCCCGTGTACAAAATTGACCCCCATTCAAAAGGAGGTTATCAAGGGAACTTGAAGTCTAAGAGGGCTCGAGCCCACACCGTTAAGCATAAGTCAACCATTATGCTATATAATAAACTGTGCGAGCTCATTAGCGCCCTTGGTGAACTTCTCGACATTCAAGAACTCACCGACACGGTTATTCTGCAGGTGTCCACATTGGGCGTGTCACCGTTTTTTGTTGAGAATATTAGCGAGATGCAATTAAACTCTATGAAGCTTGTCACAAACATTTTCTCTAAATATGACAAGCACCGACAGCTTATTTTGGAAGATATATTTGCCTCGCTGGCTCGTCTGCCATCAACTAAACGAAATTTGCGTAATTACCGCCTAAATGCCAATGAATCAATTCAAATGGTGACTGCCCTTGCCTTGCAGTTGATCCAGTGTGTCGTAAAACTGCCTGTAGCCAAGCAAAAGGAGCTTGAAATGCCAGCCGAAGAGAAACCAGATCTTGACAAATCAGCTGCAGAAAAGGATAAAAAGAAAAAGGGGGAGAAATCAGATGGTGATGTGATCATTGTGACTTCATATGAGACAGCCATGCGGACTGGCTATAATTTTCTGTCAGTGTTCCTGAAAAAGTGTACAGCTAAAAGTGAGGATGATTACCGTCCACTATTTGAAAATTTTGTACAAGATTTATTGTCGACCGTTAACAAACCTGAGTGGCCGGCTTCGGAGCTTCTGCTTAGTCTTCTGGGTAGAATTCTGGTGCAGCAATTCAGCAACAAATCGACTGACATGTCCCTGAGAGTGGCATCACTGGAATACCTTGGCATCGTTGCCGCCCGGCTTCGTAGCGATGCCGTGTCTAGTCAGATGAACCAGGAGGTGATTGACGAGATTGTGGAAAAGGCAGACGCGTGCAAGAACCAGGATGACGACAAGAAAAAAGAGAAGAAGAAAGAGGAGGAAAGTAATGATTCAAAGCAGACGAAGAGTCTGCAACTTGGTATGTTGAATTACTTGGCTGAAAATACCCTGAGTGATCCCGCGTTGTTGTTTGCTCGTCAGTTCTACATCGCTCAGTGGTACCGGGACATCACAGTCGAAGCTGAAAAGGCACAGAAAAAGGCTGACAAAGCAGAAAAAGATGAAGATGAGGAAGAAATGGAATTGATGAATAAATCCCTTCACCTTGCAGAGAATGGGAAACAATTTTTATTGTCTGTGGCAGAGATTCAAGGAAAACCTCTTGGTACTATGCGAACGTTACACAGTCCTCTTGACTATGAAGATGCATGCCTCGTGGCTCGGTTCCTAAGTTCAAAACGTCCGTTTGCTCAAAGTTTTGATATCTATCTAACACAGATCTTGCGTGTGCTCAGTGAGACTGCAGTGGCTGTGCGGACGAAGGCAATGAAGTGTTTATCAGCCGTGGTGGAGGCAGATCCAGGAATTTTGGCCAGGGACGACATGCAGCGAGGTGTGCATGGACGTTTCCTTGACCAGTCGACTTCAGTCCGAGAAGCTGCAGTAGAGCTGGTCGGAAAGTTTATCCTAATTCGACCAGAATTGATTCCCAAATACTATGACATGTTGTGTGATCGGATCCTTGATACTGGCATAAGTGTACGAAAAAGAGTGATAAAAATCTTCAAAGACATCTGCTTGGAGCAACCAGAGTTTTCTAAAATTCCCGAGATGTGTGTCAAGATGATCCGCAGAGTCAATGATGAAGAGGGCATTAAAAAATTGGTGAATGAAGTTTTCCAGTTGATGTGGTTCTTACCGTTGCGAGGCAACGACATGTCAAAACTTGTACGTCGAGTTCTTAACATCACGGAGGTTGTGTCAGCTTGTAAGGATACCGGAATGGAATTCTTTGAGCAGCTCTTGGAGAACTTACTCAAAAAAGATGAAGATGGAAATTTCAATAAGAGTGCATTGCAGGCTTCCAAGCAGATTGTGGATTGTTTGGTTGAGAATGTCCTCTCATTAGAAGAGAGGTCTGTTGATGGGGAGAGTACCACAAACCCTCAGCGCCTGATTGCCTGCCTCACGACATTGTTCCTATTCAGCCGTATAAAGGCAGATCTCATGCTGCCCCATGCTATGACGTTGCAGCCATACCTTGATATCAAGTGCAATACGCAGGGTGACGTGCTGGTGCTGCATAATGTTGCCCGTATCTTGGAACTAGTGGTGCCTCTGATGGAGCATCCCAGTGAGTCATTTTTAATGCAGCTTGAGGAAGATATGATGAAATTAATTTTGAAACATGGAATGATGGTACTGCAAAGTTGTGTGAGCTGCCTCGGAGCAGTTGTCAATAAAGTCAGCCACAACTATCGCCTTGTCAAAGATTGCTTCCAGAAGTTCTTTGGAGTCATATCAAAACTGATGGCAGACCACAAGGAAAATCCAAACAATCCCACCTTGGTGCGAAGGCGTCCAACTTTACTCCGTTCCCTCTTCACAGTTGGTCTTTTGTGCCGCCATTTTGATTTTGATTCGAAAGAAATGGGTGAGACCAAAGTGAAGTCGTCCATTAAGGACCGTGTCTTTGATGTCTTGTCTTATTTTATTGAGCATGAAGATGAAGAAGTGAGAATAAAAGCCCTGACAGGTGTGGGGTTCATGTGTGTGCGGCACTATGAATATATGCTTGGCAGGACAATGAAAGGACTTTATTATTATTTGCTCACTGACTACAATGCATCGGTTAAGCTTAAAATTCAAGCGTTAAAAAATCTGCAGTGTTACCTTGTTGAGGAGGAAATAAAGATGATCAAAGCAGATGCTGAGTGGCGGAAAAAATGTAAAGCTGAAGATCTGCGGGACATGGGTGATGTTCAGTCTGGTATGGCTAGCACAATAATTCAGGTGTACCTTAAACAAGTTCTCGAGTCTTTCATCAGTGCTAACAGCCAGGTGCGGCAGGCTGCTCTTGAAATCATTCAAATAGTTCTCCGCCAGGGATTAATTCATCCTGTCCAATGTGTTCCTTATTTGATAACCATGGGGACAGAGCTTGATCCCAACATAAGAGTAAAATCCGACCAGCAACTGCAAGATATAGATAAAAAATATCCTGGTTTCATACATATGAAGGCTTTGCAAGGCATAAAGATGTCGTACAAGTTACAAAGTATAATCCAAAACCCTTCAGAGCCGATCCGTGGCCTTAGAACCCAGGACGGGATCCACCATAGTTTGAATGCATTCCTTTACACTGTTCTCCGGGGTAACCGGGGTCACCGGAGAGCATTCCTCACCTCATTGTTAAATTTGTTTGATGATTCTGATCGTGCATCCCTCGAAGAACTTTTGTATATAGCTGATAACCTTGCCTTCTTTCCTTACCAATCTCAAGACGAGCCCCTCTTCGTCATTCATCAAATTGACATCATAGTGTCGGTCTCAGGGTCTAATTTACTGCAGTCTTTCAAGGAAAACCTAATGCCAGGTAAAAAAATGGAGAAAAAAAGCGACGTCTATGATGAGGATGATGAAGAGGAAATCGATAACCTTTTAGAGAGGCTGCCCCCAGATATTAATCCTTTGTTGGATGTCTGTCGCGTCTCGCAAGGTTGTGTGCTGTTGCTTGTTCTCAAACAGCACCTGAAAGAGCTGTATGGTTTCACTGATAGCAAGATCCATCGGTACTCGCCGGCTGAAGGCGCCAAGATGTATGATAAGCCAATGAGCCGGAAGTTTGCCATTGACTTCAACCCGTCGTCAACTCTTGACCTCATAAAGCAAGGTCCACGTAAAGAGGTTGATGATAGCGCGAAACGAAAAATGATTGAGGAATATCTTGATTTTAAGCAACTCATGCTCAGTATTGACCCACCTGATGAAGATGATGAGTCAGATGATAACACAAATGTCAAGGGGCAGAAGCAACGTTCAGGGGTTGAGGAGGGTCAAACTGTAGAAATAGGAGGTAAAGAGTCTGAGGGTCAGGACTCCTCTGTGATGAACATTCCGGACAAGGTATCTGATGGCAGTGATGGTATAAAACCTCGTAGCCAACCGCATACCCCACACCATAACATGCGCAGTCAACATTACGCTGCCTTGTTTGAAAAGAAAAAGAAAGTTCGTCTTACACCAAAGGCGACTCCGCCACCAAAACCCCCCAAAAAGAAGGCTCGTAAAAGGAAACGGCGTTTAAGTGACAGTGATGAAGACATTGACAGTGAGGATGATCCAGATTTTATTGCTTAAATAGAATTTGTTGTTTGTTTGTTGTTTGAACATGTTTGTAGAGTGGGGCTTGGTTGGGTTTGGGGGATAATGGATCTGGGCTTTGGGTATGACAGACCTGGGTCTTGGGGTATATCAGTGATCCTTTATTGATTCGGAGATAAAACTTGTGAATAGGCGAACTGGGTGGGGACATAAAAAAAAAAAAAAACGATGAAAATGGGGCAGGTGAAAAAAAACAATGGGGGTCGGGCAAAATATTTTTATGAAAAATCTGAGTAAGAAGCTAAAAAAAAAAAAAGAAAAAAATTTTTAAAAAGGAAACTTATGAAAAAAAAAATTCACAAAACTTTTTGACAAAAAAAATGACTATTCTTCCTTTTTGTATCAACGGTTTTAAAAAAAAAAAAAGAAAGATACAAGGGAGACAACCATTTTGTGTTCGTCTTTTTTTTTTTTTTTTTTTTTGTAAATGTTGTCATTTCAAACCAGATTTTATAAAAACTGTTCACATTCATTGAAAATGGCACATTCGAATAATAAATAATTAAAAAAAAAAATCTTTCCGTAAAACATAAATCAGAATATATAAATTAAGGAGACCTTTTTTCTTATCTATTTTTTTCATCATTTTTTGCAACAATTTCAAACTTCTACATACGTTTGTCTTACATTCTATGTTGACGTATGTAAAGATGCAAATACCTACCTGTGCACATTTATATATAAACTTTAAAAAAAAAAAAAAAAGTAAAATCTTTTTTTTTTTTTTTTTTTTCCCCCCCCACCCATCACATACAAAATAAGAAAAAAATTTATATAAAGAAAAAAAATGAGACATTTCCCAAACACTTCATCACACATCTGTTGTAAACTTTTATCATACTAGAGATCAACCTTCTAGGACGTTGGATCTCAGTTAGAAATAAAATTTTGCATATGATCTTTTTTTCATTGATTGCCTCCTTTTCTTTCCACTGTGTCTGTAAATTTGAAAAATTCAACTATGAAAAATGATTTATTTTTTTATGAGGAGAAAATACATTCATCTTGTGACAGCCATTTTAAATTTTTAGCTCCTTTTTATGCATAGAAATTTTTATTAGCAATATTTTATAAATGTATATATATTTTTTTGAAGGTCCATGACTGTTTAGCTTGAATTAATATATTTTTATTGTTTTAGTCAAAATAGTTATCATTTGAAAATGAAGTGAATAATATACACACCCGGAAAAAAATGCTTTGAATTTGTGAACTGTAAGTTGCATCAATTAGATTTATATTATTGTTTGTTGGCAAACTTTGGCTCATTATGACCCGTCTGATAGAGGTGACATAAATTTGATTTTGATCTCAAGTCATTATGATTGTAGTCTGTGTAATAACGTCATTCATACTTGATTGTCTATTTTACCTTGTGTCAGAAAAGGTTAACTTTAGCAAATAATTGTAAATACACCTGTAAATTTTACATATATAATATTCTCTGTGTAAATTATTTTCAGATAGTGTATCTGTAAAGGAACAAAATAAATAAAATTACAAGGAAAAACTATTCCTATTTGATGCATTTTGTCCTCTGAGGGACTTTATCAAGGCAAAAAGTAAGGATTTATTTTGTTTTACGCATTTATATACAGGGGCAAAGATGTCATTGGCTTATTAAGTCTTTTAAATTTGAGAACATTCATGAATATTCATCAGGTGGGTGAAAGGTCAGTCAAAATATGAATTGAATTATGGCACTTTGTCTCCTCCACATATTTTGACTGATCTTTCAACCATCTGAATAACACTTGTGAATGTTCTTATATTTAAAAACCTAGACAAGCCAATGACATGCTTGCTCCTGCATATAAATATGTGCAACAAAATAAATCCTTACTTTTGCCTTGATAAAATCCCTCAGGACAAAATGCGTTGGCTAAGAATAGTTTTTCTTCTTTTTTCTTTTTTTTTTTTATTCAATATTCTTATATATATATATATATATATATATATATATATATATATATATGTATGGCGGCAGGGAAGATATATAAATTTTTTGTTATATATCAAGAACAATTTTAGGGGAAAGAAGTATAACTCTTTTTCATATATATATATACTTATATATTTATTACTTCAAACTGTATTTAATGGATACACATGTTTGAATAGACAACCAAAACCTGTCTTTTTTAAATAGTGTGCATTATGTTTACCAGTATGCACACTGGACAAAACTAATGAAGAAAATGTACTCTCTATGTAGGTTTGAATCTGTGTCCCTCGTTTGTAGGAGAAAACCTCATCTAACCTGTACTTTAGGCTGCTCGACAGCAGAGTGCATCACAGTCCAGCTAGGTTCAACTTAGCCTTTTAAGGAAGACACATCCTCTCGTTAAGATTTTCTTGAAAGCCCACATCTGTTGGGTTGTCAAGCTGTCACCAGATCAGACAATGGTTTCTCCTACAAGAGGGGTGAGGAAGGCAGATTTGAGTGTACAGCCTGTAGACGTAATACATAAACAAAAAAATGAGCCATCTATTTCAAACACAGGTATTCACTAAAAGTGACGTTTGAAGTAATAAAAATGTCTGATTAAAAAATAAATCTGTTAATTCCTTATACATATGTATAGTCTTACCTATTCTCTTGGAGATCATTACTTCTGTAGTGAGTCCACTTCTTACTCAACTCTCCCAAACCTCTGTATCTTTGGGAACATGATAAATATCAAAGATATATTTTTTAAATATTGAAATCTGGATCTTAAAAAAAAAATACTACTGAAATATAGACTAGTGTGCAAAACCTTTGGACCAACTTGGTAATTACTTTTGTTAATTTTATGCCAAAATCGAGACTGATTAGCAGTAAATTTTTCTCAGTACATTTTATGATCTTTCAGTGTAAGAAAACAATTTACCGATTTTCCTATAAAGTTAATTCCAAACTTCTAATTTGGAATGAATACTAAAGAAAATACTTTAATATATATATATATATATATATATATATATTTTTTGTAATGTGCCTTACAAATTTAGCTTGCATTATTGAAACCAAATATTACATTGCTTATGAGCCTGGATTGAATTCTCTGTGAAGTGATTAAATAATTTTTTTTTTTTTTTTTTTTAAATTTAAGCTTTTTTGCACAGTTCAGATAAATTCCATAAATTCAAGAAAAATTTTCCTACTTTTGCCTTTTTGTTTTCCTTCAATCAGCCATTTATTGTTACAGGTCTGGAGATGAACAGATGTGTCAAAAATATCTCCCCTTTTCTTATCCTAAGCCTATATTATGTGTATGGGTGTGGGATGTATCCAGTTCACTATAAAGTGAACTTGTTTACCTCAGAAGTAGGTTATATTAAAGGGACTACAGTGTGATATTTGATTTACTAAGTAAGTCCTGCTTAGTTTTGCTTGAAGCATGGAATGAAGTGTCAAAGTATGAATTATGCCAATTTTATTCAACATGATCAATCATTCCAACTAATTGTTTTAGTCTTATGAAAATTTATATTAGACTTTAAAAAGTAACATTTAATAAAAAAATAAAAACAGGAAGATATATTTTTCTATGAAGAAAAACTAAAAAAGCTGTTGGAAGTAGCGTTTGTTGTTGCTTCTCTTAATTTGATTTGCTATAACATCCTGTTTTGCTGTGGTGCTTTTTTTTTTATTTAATTTCTTTTGCATGATGGTGGTGGTTATTTTTTCTCATATAAACTCATTTCAGACAATGTGAAAATTAAAAAAAATGATGTTTTTATATTATTCGATGAAGCATTGTCAACTATTATTAATTTTTGACTTGTATTTATTTTCATCTTTTTTTTTTTATTAGATGAACCATTATTACTAATTTTGGACTAATATTTACTTTCATCTCCATTTTTTTTAGTTGATTTTTTTTTTATTGAAACGCTCTGTGATACAATTGCCTGTCTTAGTAAAATTGCCAAAAATTTTTTCAAATTCTTGCCAAAATTAATAATCGTTTATAATGACTCATTTAATTTAAAAAAAAAATTTTTTTTTTTTTCATTTAATTTTTAAGAACTCCTCCTCTTATAGAAGTGAAAGCAAATATGGTGTCCAGGGTCTGTGGAATAGAGTAATGCCTGATAGGTTAGATTTGCTCATCTGTGAATTTGGTACGTTCTAACAGCTTATTAGTAAAGTAAGGGGTAGAAGTGATGTACATTCAAATCTCGTTTAGTCTATGCTTTATCTCTGATTGTGTACTGTCTATGCACTATCAGGGAGTGAGAGCCTGAGTAAATGTCTTATTTACTAAGCTTACTTTGTCACAGGGTGATAAGTATGAGGAACCCAATGAGGATCAAACTATTTACTCAAGGGTCAAACAGATAAGCTCGTTAAACATTACCCTATTCCAAAGTGTTCATGGCCTGTGTTAGGAAAAATATAAATTAAAATGAAAGTAAAAGTGAGTTAATGATTATAGTTAACAAAAATGAAGATATAAAAAAAAAATATTAGTTTGCCTTAAACCAAAACATTTGAAATTGTAAAGATCGTTTCAAATAGTGTTCTCATTCATTGTACAGCCCTTGCCAACTCAATTCATTTCAATTCTTAGTAATATGGCTTGTTTCTTCCATTTGACCAGAGTAGATGACTTTTCGTAATAACTGATGCAGTGCTTAGTGGGTAAAATCTTATTTGTATTTAGTTTTCTTGTCGTTCAATTCATATTTGGACAGCAGAATGAGAACAATCTAAACCTCGTAGTTTTAATAAAGGGTTTTCACCTGGAAGGTTAGAAACTGGACAAAGCTGAAGTGTACAATATCTAAAAGATTGTGATTGTGTGGATAGCGATCCAAGTGAATCCGTGGTTGGTAATAATAATTCACCATCTTTAAAATTCAGTCAGTAACATGAAAAAGTGTAATTCTAATTGAAATTGTAAAATATGTGAAAAAATAATATTACTATTGTCTCATAAGTGTTGCTGCAATTGCATCCCCTGATGAGTGGCTGGAGTGATTCCTGG